CTTCCTCTTGTTTTGTGTCAAACAGTTCCCATTCCAAATTAATTCACAAACCTCCCTTTTGATATAAATGCAAGAAAGTTTGTTTTAAACTTGCTATCAACACTTCTATTTATATACCAGATACCACTGTATATTTCAATGAAACTGTTGAAGGAGAAAGATTCTTCTGTTTTTAAACTGTACAATATTATCTGCTACTTTCCAAGTGCTGGAGTATGAATGTGTTTGCTGGTACAGAATATTGCAGCACTTTTTTTTCATTCAGTATAATGCAGAGCTAGTGAAAAGCCAGAGCTAAGTTCTAATACTTTACAGAATATTTGCAACGAGTTCCCTACTTGTTTTTATCCAATCCATCCATCCTGAAAACTGCTTTGTATGAAGGCAATGTTTGCTACAGCTTTTTTCACAATAAGCAATTCTGTTTCCAGTGTACACACTGGCTATCTTTTGAATTAATGATAGATCTTCCCTATCATGCCTGGAGTACTACTATAATGGTTGTTTTTTAAAACAAAGAAACAACAACAACCTTTCTTTAAATACCGACAATAAAAAGCAACAGTACAGGGAAAAGTAAAAATAATAAAGGTGCAATATTTTATAAACAAAAGAAGTCTTTGCCAGTTATATGCCCGCCTAAGCAAACCCTAAGCATGACATACATGGAAAAATAGAGGAAAAAATGCTCAAAGTACACACTGGTTTAAGAACATTCTTAAGTAAACGTTTCTGTCAGTGATGATCTGGTGCTGTAATACACCTAGGCCTGGCACAGGTAACACAATGGGGGAAAGAGAGAACAAAAGTTGCTGCATGTGCTTTCAATAGGTGACAGGCCAGCAAACTACTGACATTTTAACTCTGTCATAACAGTAGATCAAGAAAATATACTTTGGCCTGAATTATTAGTGGGTTTTCCATGAATGGATAAAAATCTTCATACAGACTTCAGGAGTTAATTTTTTAGGATTGCAGAAGCTTCAACCATTGTATAGGTCTTTGTCACAAACAAATGTGATGTTTTTTCTTCTGGTAGGTCCCCAGAAGAAGAAAAGCCTTTTCCATAAGAAATAAGCTTGGGTTCTGTCAATAACTCTTATTAAAGAAAAATATAGTTCTAGGCAAAACAAAATTCTACATTCTCTTTTTCCCTCTCCCATCCCAAAAACCCTAAAATTACATATTGGCATCCCTCTCACCAAATCCTTAGGATATGGCAGTGTTTTGCTTTGTAACAGGGTTAGAACACAATCTGTAGTGCACTTAATACCCTGCTAAAATACCACCAACTAGTAAGATTTGAAACACAGATCAATTTGATTTTTGCAACAGGCACCATCATTTTCAGTTTAAGAATCTAGTCAGATAGGTTGCTGACCAACAACAATGCAGCTTTTCAAGACAGAAATGTGTGTGCGCGCGCACACACACACAATCATGCAAACATACTCTCACACAGATACACACACACACACACACACACACACACACACACATACACACACACAGAGGCAGTTACATGTGCCAGAACATACTGGTATATATCAACCAGCCAATCACAAAGTGTTTTTTTTCCTTTTTTGTTTTTTAAAGTGAGGCTCCGTCAAGTCTTTCCCTCCCAACCCACCCCAATTCTTCTGAACCCCACCCCCAACATAGTAGACCTAAGGACGGAAACACACCCAGTGCAAACAAAGTTAAAAAGCTATTTTTCAGTATATATGTTTCTTAGCAACAACTTCTGTATAACATGAAAAAGTGAAAAACTAGAAACTAATTTTTTTAAATTTTTTGTGTTTAGTTTTAAATGGTATGTGTACTTGCTTCACATTGTCTTTCTAAGTTGGCGTTCATGATTCAAGTATTTCAAGAGTGATATGTTCTCTTTTTGGATTCATATTCCAAACAAAAAAACTGAAGTTGTAAGGGAGGCAACTATGTGCTCAGACGGTCCTGTCAATGACCCACCTTTTTTCTCTCTCCATTTTCTTTTTTCCTTTTAAAATGTATTTATTGCAAGTTGAAAAAAAAGAAAAGGTCAAGTTAGTGCTGCTGCTGTTCCAAAAAGGTCACGAGGTCAGAGTTGAAAGTTTAAAGTTCAGATTGAATCCGACCCTCCGCCTAGAAGGTCTCCAGGTAGTAAGGGAGCAGGGCTTCCCATTCTGTGGGGATCGTCTACACTTTGAACCCCCCATAAACTTGACGAATAATTTGGAGGCCCCCATAATGAAGCACCAGCAAGGTCACCCCCACTGCTGCCGCCACCACTGTTGCTCCACTGCCCAAGCCCTGTTGACCCACCAAAAAGATTCAAAGCAGGTCCAACTGGATCTGTCTGATTCTGTCCTGCCTCAAGAGACTGCCAGCCTGCCGTGGGTGCACTGGGGGTTGCTGCAGGAGTAGAAGGCTGAGCTTGTGTCAGAAAGCGACTAACTTCCTCGTCTGTTGCAAATTCAGCCAGGATGGTAGTGTTTCCCAAAACACACCTATAATAATAAAAAAAAAGCCAAAGTGGTAGAGTGAAAAGTAATAAACAAACAAGAGTTCAAATGTCTAAAAATGTTGAACACTGCTTGAAACAAAACAACACAGTCCCATTTAAGTCAATAGAGATAAATAATATGAATGGCTGAAGTTCCATCATCTTTCTTTTAATCCCTTTCTCAAAACCTTTCTTTAAAAAGAAAGAAGAAAAATAATTACATAGACTGGGTGCCATTGCATCTTGGGACACTGCAATGAACTCACCTAATAAAATACCCAGGAAATACTGATCTCTTTTATGAACAACTACTATTATCAAATTAATACAAAATAGTTTCTTTGAATGTGACTAAATTTTGTTCTACTGTATACAAAATTAGGCAGATTCTAATTGCCCACTGATAATCCACTATTCATAGTAATATATTATTTTGTCTGATTGTTATTGTTGTTGTTGTTGTTGTTGTTATTATTTTGTTGCTGCTGTCATCTTCTACCTTGCTTTTTATTTCAAGTCTTACATCCAGAAAAGATACTTCAGCAGATAAAAGTGTCTTCTGGAACGTGACACAATACTAGGGATTTTAGTTGGGATGTCAATGGAATAGTTTCCCTTGACACCCGATGAGATAAAAGAAGAAGTAAAGAAGAAATGGGATAGTCAGCCTCTGCATGTGTATTATGGCTCCAATAAAGGAGAATTATTTGTAGCTGAGGGTTGAAATGTCAGTGTTGGTGGGAGTGGTCTTAGAAGTTCTTTAACTGGCCTGTTCACTGTTGGCTTGTTTGGCAGTTCCTTGATTGGGGTATCGTTTACTTGATTGTTGATCTGATGTTACTCTTGGAGTTAATCTATGCTCATTTGGGTGCTTATTGCTGGTGGGGAGGTGTTTCAGTCTTTGGTCTTTTCCATAACTTGGCAATAAACAGCCCAGCCCTCTAAGATCACCCCACCAACACTAATAGGGCAAGCCATCAGAATATAAACTGAGAGCAAACTCCACTCCCTACTAGCACTGATGATGTTACCTAGTTTGGTTAATGAGAAGTCTACAAGAAAACAACCAAGCTCAGAGAGCCCCAAGGTCCCCTGTATTATGGCTTCTTGATTTTGTTTTCTTACATTCATACTATAACAAACACCTGCGGAAATATAATTGGAAATAAGTGACTATCTTATACAGATAGTTTAAAATCTTTGGAGATTCCTGTTAATTTCAAACTACTTTAGTATTATTTAAAATTTAACTAAAATATTTCAAAACTAGTATTGAGAATGCTATTTCAGCTTTTTAAAAAACTTACATTAACAGAAAGTTTTTTTTGTTTGCTTTTTCAGTAATTATCAACTAGCAGAAGGTCATTAAATGGACTTCGTCTACAGTTCAGAGTAGTTCATTCAGATAACAAAATAGCCCATTATTTTCTTTTCAAAATATTGTATAAAAATAATTTTATTCAACTACACCAGAAAAGATACTTCTAGTTCAATAACTAGTAGGATTCCTTTGATAAGTCCACAAGCAAGATACAATAATATTCCTTGTTCAACTAAGCCCAGTATCTTATTCAGAAAAAGTATGAAGATGTTTCTGTTCATTAAATTATCCATTTCCCTGTATAAACCATCTAAGCCAGTGCCTATGACTTAATTGTGCAATAGCAAAGTTATAACTTAATTAGAAAGTGTGTGATGTACCCCCTTTTAGTTGTTTTGAAATTACTTCCAAACAATGTTTCACTGTATAATGAGGAAGGAAAATTTCCAACCACTTTTCCATGTCATAATTTTTCTTAAGAAAGGATTTATCATTTCCCAGATCAACAATTTTCAATCTTACAGAACAGAACGTTCCAAATGTTTCAACTTTTCTGCATTAAGAAGAGCAGTAAGTCATGGATATTTGTTACTCTTTACAGCCTTATGACAATCATTTAAAAGTAAGGCTATTTTTTTTGATCATACGTTTCTATAATACTAACTATTTATGAAAAAGGTAATAATACAAATCCCAATTTATAATTCTAAATGACTTTTGAACACTTTATTGCATTTCTAAAACTGCAATTGTGGTGAGAAGAGCAAAATATAATTCTATCTGGGAAAACTTATAACATTAATTTTGATTTGCAATTAATTCAAGTAAAAATTATGAATGGCAATTAAAATCTCAGTGTTGTTAATTTTCCAAATTTTAAATTGGTGATCTTGAAGATGAATGCATTTGTAGAATGATAAACTTTATCAAGAAGGAAGCTAAATATTAACTTGTCAATGGATTTCATCCATCTCTCTTGTCTAGACTCACTATTAAACGCAAGTTCTATTCAAGTATGCACAGCATACCAGGGCCATCTCTATTCAAAGAAATGCATAAAAATAATAGTTTTCAAAAAGAAACTCTTCTGTAATTATCAGTCATACCTGAATAATGCATAGATGAAACAAATGAACCAGGAATGTTATATATTGACAAAAGAAGTCAATGAATGTTTGTAGATTGTTACAAAACTCACATGTGCAGTGCAGTCTGGGCCTTAGCTGCCTCCTGCTTGGTGCTGTACCGGATAAGGGCGGTGCCTTGGGTCAGGTTGAGATGGAATGTCAGCAATGGACCATGCTGCATGCAGATGGTCCTTAAAGTTGACCCATCAATCTTAAAAAGAATAGCAAAGACAGGCTATTAAAATAAAGAGACTGAGGTTTTTTTCATCATTTAAACATACTAGAAATAATATACAGAATGAAAAGCAATCAGGCAGCATATTATACAGGTAGTCCTTGAGTTGCAGCAACTAGGATCTGAATTTCTATTGTTAAGCAATGCGTTTATAAAGCATGTCGTCACCTGACTGCATTGCTTAGCAAGGGCAGTCTTAGTTGCAGTCATACCCCAGGATTGTGTGAGCTGTTAAGCACAAAAGGGCAGAAATACCAGGCAAGTATGTGAATGGATAAGAGTTTAGGTGGGCAGGAGTGTATGTGCTGTAGGAAGATTCTATGGTGTGCAGGCAGGTACTCCACTGTGATGATGGGTACCATGGGCAGGCACTATGGTGTGGGCAGGCAATAAAGCAGCAGAAAGGGAAGGACTTCCTGCCTGCTTCCCCATTGACTTTGCTTGTGAGAAGCTGGCAAGAAATGTTGGAAATTGTGTGAATGTGGCTCACTGTGATATCATAATCACAAGCCAGGTATCAAGTGCCTGGATTGTGATTATGTGATAGGACCTAATGTTGGCTTGCTCAATTGAAGCCAGTCTTAAGCAGTCTTTACACACTGAGTGGCTATTCATAGACTCTTAAATGTATACAAGGAAGGAATCTGCATAATTGTACTGGTGGGAATTATCTAAGATAAAGTTATAATAAAGAGTTAAAATCAGGCATATATAGGCAGTTATTCTATCTGAAGTTCAAAAATGTTTTGACAGTTGTACTAGAAATATTCTATAATCTCACTAAGGAAAAAAGAGGGAAGAAACTGGCAGTTATGATTGGGTGCAGAACTGGAAATAACGGTGATAAATCTGACACTCAAGAATAAATTCTTTGGTTTTTAAGTATTGTCATATTGAAGTAAGTACAGGGCAATGGCCTTTGAAAAAGCACAACACATTATCTACAAGATTTAGTAAGAAAAAGGGGATGAAAGTAGAAATACCTGCGGAGTGAGATTGTGAAGAACCAGCCAGTAACTGGGACGTACAGAACCACCATCACTCCAAGTAGAGGCTGCAAAATATTAAAACAGCAAGCATTTGTACTCATCTTAATTCATGATTTAGAAACAAAATAAATCCTATTCTTTATAGGAACTATTTAACTTGCCAAGAAAGTTAAGGCTGGTTGTTTATCTGCAATTGTTCAAAGGGTCATCTGCAGAGAATTTAGAATCAGATTGATATTAAGAACATTTTATTGCTAACTGAAAAGGCTTTTTTCTTTTTTGATGGCAAGTCCACCTCAAGTACCCAACAGTTAAAGTAACAAGGCTCCTCAATCCTTTCTTCTGCTTTGTTCTTAACAGATCACTGCAGCAGCTATTTATACTAAAGCCAAGAGCAATGCACAGTGTCTGCAGTGGAAAGGAAGGTGGATGGTTAGACACACATGAGCATTACACAAAAGGTATGGAAACAAGTTTTCTTTACTTTCTGTACTTCTACCTTACGGCAAAAGAATAAGAACATTAAATCAGTTTCAAGGAGGGTAGGGCTAAAATTAGATTAAACTAAAATAAATATTAGCATCCAATATCAGAAAGTAGTGTACAATTTTTACTGGCTGAAGTAAGTTTTGTGAGCCCTGTCAAGGGCTGGGCTCTGACCTGGGGTATTATCCGTTTGCTTCCATTATTTTGAAGACAAGGAAAAGTTCTTGTCAGCAGCTTTTTAAATAAAAGTACTAAATGCTGATGGTGAGCTTCTACCAAAATATTATTTGCACCTTTGTGTATTCAAAATAATTTTTTTTGCATGCTTTCAAAACTGATATGTGCGACTACACAGATTATTTATTTCAAGAACATACATATATACTTATTCCTCACAATTACACAGTATTTCTAGAATTCTCATGATTTTTTTCTCATTCTATTTTCTCAATAAAATTTCAATTGATTTTTATAGATTAGGTAGTTTTTCATTGAACAAACTTAAAAATCTCTTATCTGATCTATTAATACACTCTTCTTTGGCATATAATAATCCTAAAAAAAAAAAAATATTCACCAGGGGCAAGCCTTGAATCCTGTGCACCCCATCCCCTGAGTGAGCGGGGTGCTGTGCTGCTCCAAGGAGAGGATGTTTTCGGATTACTCAGACCAGGAGGTGGGCGTGGCAGCCCTGTAGTGTTTCTTGAGGAAATATGGTTTTTCCATAACTTGGTAGAGAGATGAGCAGGATTAGGTCCTATGGGATCTGGGGACCATGTTGATTTGTAATCACTGAATTTTGCTGAAACAAATAAAAGGAAAAGGTGATAATTAACAGTCATTAATAAACACATCACAAATCAAGTGCTGTTTTTGTCAAAGGCTATTTGTATAAAATGCTTGATTTTAAAAAAAATCTGAAGCAATACATCTGGGTCATCTGTCATCACTCTACATTTGACTAAGAAAAAAAAATAAAGGCAAGTCTCTAGCTACTTTATGATTTTCTTCCATAACAAGATGACTACCACTCCATGCTTTACAGAGGGGGTGGTAGAAGATTTGGAGAAAATAGACATTATGAAGAAAATGTATGGTATTTCTTTTTACTTGACAGAAGTTCCTACAAAAAAGAGGACCAATCCTCCAACATGTACATTATTCTAGATTACATTCCTTTCAAGCTTCCAAACTTTCAAAATTTGCTAAAGGGATGTGATGAAGTTTTTGCTTTGGTTAAGTAAACTGTATTCATTGTTGGTACTTCTTTATTTTGTTACTAACTTAATTATTACATTCTATCATTACATTACTATTAAGCAAACAATTATTCTTGTTTTATGGGACAGTCTATTAAATCATGTTGGAGGTGGTTCATGGACTAATATTAGATTTCACCTCTCCCCCTGCACATCTTGCACCCTCCCCTCCCATCTTTTAATCATAACTTTCTTTTTTTACTGTTACAGAGAGACAGAAAGACAACTCTCTTTTATTCTCTTATACCTGAAGTGCTATGAACATTTGTGAAAGAATTGTCAGAGGCACTGTAGGGCCAGGCACCAGGTGAAGGCAGCGAGGTGTTGAGGGAAGAATTAGACCCTATGGAAAGTAATGGAGGAGGAGAAGAAAACTCAGTGATACTCAAATCTGAAAAAAAGCTTTCTATAAATGACATGAATATAACATGTTAAAATTGTTTCCATTGTGTATATGCCTTTTGAATTAGAATCGTAGCAGCTTTCATGTTTTCATATCTTAGAATTTACATTTTTGTAAATTAAGAGGTAAAACAAGATTTCCAGTTTGTACTTTACTATCTTGCATGGGCAATTCTCAATTGTTCACATGGCAACATGTCACACTCCCAGACAAGCCTTTCTCCCCTCTTTTTCCTCCTTGCGACAGATTTTAAAACTAATCACATAAGAAGGGAAAAAAAGAGTTGCAGTGAAGAATCAGCACTTATGAGAAAAATTAAAGCATCAGGAATTTTTGGGCCACTCATTCAGCCCAACCCATCTTATAAGGTTCTTATTGTGGGAAAAATAGAAGGAGGAACGAGCACTATATATATATATATATATATATATATATATATATATATATATATATATATATATATATATATATATATATATATATATATATATATATATCTATATATATATATATATATATATATATATATATATATATACACATACACACACACACACACACACACACACACACACACACACACACACACACACACACACCACCTTGAGTTGGAATAAATAAAGGGAGGATATAAATCAAATAAACTTTTCTTTTCAGTAAATAAATCTTTTTTTCCATAATTAGTCAACCAACAATTAGGCTATTGCTTGTACAGGTAGTCCTCAACTTATGACCACGCAAAATTTCTGTTATTAAATGAGACATTTGTTAAGTGAGTTTTGCTCCATTTTCCGATCTTTCTTGTCACAGCTGTTAATCACCATAGAAAGTTAGCAACACGGTTGTTAAGTGAATCTAGCTTCCCCGTTGATTTTGCTTGGCAAAAGGTTGCAAAAAGTGATCACATAACCTTGGGACACAGCAATGGTCATAATTATGAGTCAATTGCCAAGCATCTGAATTTTGATCACATGATCATGGTGATGCTACAAAGGTCGTGTGAAAAGGTTCATAGGTCACTTTTTTCAGTGCTGTTGTAACTTTGAACTGTCATTAAATAAACTATTGTAAGTCAAGGACTATCTGTATTGTGCATGGCTCTAATCCTAGCAACTATAGAATACATATTACAATCCAGCAAACCTGTGCTGTTATCCCGCAGAAGTTGGTGATCCGTATCTACAATGGGGGCTGTGACTGTACCTCCCAGCACACTTCCTGGGGTCACATAAGGGTCAGATTCTGGATCAATGTTTGGAATACCTTTCCACGGCACTCCTGGCTGAAATTCTGAAACAAAACAGTAAATACTGCTGTTTAAAATAATGTGTTTATGATATTGTTCCAATAATACACTGTATTCTGCAATAAGCAGAATTATGTATCTCAAAATGTTATAGTTTGAAAAAAATCTGTATTAGTACAGATAAAATATATTAATTTTTTTAAAAAAATTGATTACAATTGTGATGGCACAATTATACCATAAAATTTCACCAAGTTATTTTCTCCCTTTCTTTCAGAATTACTAAACTGAACTGAACATCCTAAAGAAATATTACATTATTCAAGATGGGTTTGTGTATATGCATACCTTAATATGATGTAGTTAACACCATTATTTAATTCCATCAGGTTATCCAAAAAATTACATGTTGTTTATGACTTGAAAAGCCTTAGGAATCTATTAACCCCATAAGAAATGTATGGAGCTGACTGTTGGGGGTGATACTCCAATATTATTATGTTATGATCCATCAAGTCATCTTTGACTCGTGGTGATGAGAAGAACATGTTCTTGCAGACTGGGAAACATTTTTGGAAATGGTTTGATATTTCCTTCTTCCTAGAGCTAAGAGACAGTGACATTGGCCTATATTTTATCTTCTTCATAAAATGATTTATTAAACTATTTTGGATGAGTAGTTTGTTAAACTCTAAAGATCAAAAGAGAATATATGCAGTTGTGTATGAACATGATGGAATCAAGGATGGTTTGTAAGATCAGAAATGATCTTACAAATAGGTATAAATATAGGTACATATAGGTATAAACTAGTTCAGTTATCTCCCTGTTTTCTTATCTCAGATCTTTTTAAAAAAATATTTTAATCCTGCTTCCCCCCCCCCATACAACTCAAGACAGAGAACCTACCAATACTCTTTCCTTCTCCAATTTTTCACAGAACAATCACCTTGTGAGGTGAGTTGGCTGAGAGTGTGTGACTAGTACAAAGTCACCCAGTCAGCTTTCATGCCCAAGGCAACACTAGAACTCACAATCCCTTGATATTTAGACCAATACCTTCACTGCTACACCAAATTGGCTCTTAAGGCTTTCAGTCTTTGATATATTAGGCTTCATATTTCTTTCTGTGTTTTGTATAATGTTCTCACTCCAAAAGGGAGTAGCTAATGTGTATTATGTTGTATTTGATAACTGTACAAATACCTAGTGGGAAGAAATTAGCAACAGAGATACGAATCAAAGAGTATGTCACAGAAAAGATGATGCAGATGAAAAGAAAAAACTAAACTGAATACAAGAAGATAATTTTAGTCCCATCCTATATGATGACTTGTCTGGCTTCAAGATTTATGTCAGCTTATTTTTTGTATTTAAACCAGCAGCTTCAGCTAACTTGTAACTAACTATCATGGGATAATACTAAATAATTTGGTAAACTGTAGAAAACAATTATTTGAATTTGAATATACAAAAGCTTATTCATAACTAAGCAATTTCATACAAATTCAGATGGTCAAATAGTGGAAGACTTAGAATCAAACGACAGTGTTTGCTCAACAGTCGAAACTGTACAAATAAGTTAACATATAAACAGGGATATCATTCCTTTTCCATCTACTCATTCATAGAGCACACTGAAATTACCTGGTGGCCAGCTGGCATTGCTGGATTTGCTTCCAATTTTACTTGTTGGTGGGGATTTGGCTGGTAGCCAACTATCACCAGCAGGACCTGTATGGCTGCCCAGTGGGTCGCCAGGAATTATGTCAAATTGGTTATAGGGAGATCCCCCTCGAGCTTTTCCAGGGGGCACAATTGTCCCTGGAAAACAGAAGAAAAATATGTTCTGATAGAAGATGATCAGGCTGGTAGCTGAGGCTGTTATCATATTGTCACCAATGCTATTATGTAATTCTATATATTGAAATATAGCTGACTTGTGCCTTGGATACATATGAAAGCTGGAATAAATTCATTCAAGCAGGCCATACGGGTAGAAAGTAGAATCGAATGCTACAAGTATATTTTATTACTGTCTAGAGTTGCTTGATGGCAAGATGGGTGGAACATAATTTAATAAATGAATAAATAAAATTTTGCTTCAAAAGTTTTATCTATTAAAATCAGATCTAGTTTAAACAAATGCTACTAGACTCAAGCACATTATCGTAGCATGTTCAGGTTATTCTAATAGGTATTTCACTAGCAAAAAGAAGTTGCTTTCTGAATGTATCACTAAGCGTTTCTGACCATCTAAGATGGAATTTCTCACCATTTTTGTGCATACTGGCATCTTGGGAAGCTACAGGTGGCAATCCATCCATCATAGAAGTCCACTGTTTAAAGCGAGATTCTGTTCCAGTTTCTTTCCCTCCTACCATGCCATAATCCATGCTACTTGAACCAAAACCTTTAAAACAGCAATGCATTTAAATGCATATATGAGCAACTATGATGATAGGGATAGTGCTAATGAGGAAACCTATACACCTTTGCTCAATTTAAATAAATCTGTGTAAACAACATTGTTCATTCTCTCCTCTAACCTGCACCTTAATGTAATGTAAGCAATTCTGACATTAAAAAAAGAACATGCTGTATACTGACCAAATGATCACATAAAGACTTAGAATATATTAACCTATAATTTAAGCAACACAAAACACATTAATTGAAACAGTACAATTATGTTCAAATATTCACTAAAAATATAAGTAGTCCTCAACTTACAACCACAACTGAGCCCAAAATTTCTGTTGCTAATTGAGACAGTTAAGTTAATTTTGCCCCATTTTACGGCCTTTCTTGCCACAGTTCTTAAGTGAATCACAGCAGTTGTTAAGTTAGTAACATGGTTGCTAAATGAATCTGGCTTCCCCATTGTCTTTTCTTGTTAGAAGCTTGCAAAAGGTGATCACGTGACCCAGGGACGCTGCAACTGTCATAAATATGAATCAGTTGTCAAACATCCAAAGTTTGATCATATGACCATGAGGATGCTGCAATGGTCATAAATGTGAAAATGGTCATAAGTCAGTTTTCCAGTGATATTGTAACTTTGAATGGCCACTAAATGAACTATTATAAATCATGGAATATCAGACTTTCCTGTTCTTGCAAACACAAGTATGTAACCCAGATATTCCCACGTTAGTGGGATAGAGACCTCTCTTATATCAAGTAAGAGCATTGTCCCATTTACTCTGGTATTGTTAATAGTGGCTAGCAGGGATTCCCAGCATTTCAGATAGAAGTCTTTCTCAGCATTATTTGCAGATGACAGGAAATGGGCTTACAATATTTTACATGCATTATGACACAATTAATTGTTCATTTATATTTAATCAAGTCCACTTTTTAAGTGATAAAATAAAACTTTTAAAAGAACATGTGGTAGAATTTTTTTTAATAAATCTTGTCACAATCCATTCTTATTATGAGTCCTCAAAGCTATTTGAATAACTTATATGTACCCTACTGAGTGCAGGAAATAATTTAAATTCTAATCCCACTCAATATATTCATCATTATCTACGTATGTAATTTATATCCCAGTCTGATCGAAAGAAAAGGAAAACTGGAATTAAATACTGAGATTTTCTACGGATTTCAATTCTGAATTGTGACTAGATTAGGTTCCTGTATCTTTCTCTAGTCTCCCTTCGAAGCGCTCACAATGGTTTATAGATGATTCTTAAGTAGAGATCAGGTTTCATTCCTCACTAGGAACATGTCTGTTGAACACTCTTTGGAACCAAACCCACAGAACCTTTCCCTCTTTTTTTTGGTTTTGTTCAGGGCTTGAACACAAAACATCTCATATATAGAATAACTTGTATCACAAACAAGAATAATAGTAATAGTAATAATAATAATAATAGTAATAATAACAATAAGAAGAAGTTAGAAGGGATCTTGGAAGTCATCTAATCCAGGGCTTTTCAATCAGTGTTATGGTACCACCTGTGGTACATTGGCACCTTGCAGGTGGTAACGCGACCATCCTAGAAAAGTGGTAGCGGAGGAGGGGAATGAGCTGAACTGGTGGCAGCACTGCACAAGCCTGAGCGAGAGATGGCTGGAGCTGCAGGGTTGTCAGGGCTCAGCAGAAGCATCAAGATCAGTGCCGTTTTCCAGCTAATTGGTGCTTCTTCGGGGCTGTCAGTGGAAGCGCTAGAATCAGTGCCAGGCTCCAGTTGGAGCTCGGCGCTGATCCTGGTGCTTCTGCTGAACCCTGAAGAAGCACCAATCAGCTCGAATGCGGCACTGATCCTGGCGCTTCTGCTGAGCCCAGAAGAAGCGCCGATCAGCTGGAATGTTGCAGCATCTCCAGAGTCTTGTGATTTATATTCAGATGCTTGGCAACTGATTCATATTTATGATGGTCAGTGTCCCAGGGTCATGTGAATTGACCAAAACCTGCTGCAACCACCCATCAGACGGGGGGAATAAAAACCAAACAGCCCCCCACGCCACCCCTCAACAGAAATTCTCACAACAACGAAAACTTCGGACAGGAGGAAGAGTGGCGCCGGGTGGGCAGGCAGTTGTCTTGCTTGGCTGTGGCTTGGGGGGCACTTTTTTCAATGCCATTGTAACTTCTAAGAGTCACTAAGCGAACTGTTGTAAGTCGAGGACTACCTGTACCTTATATCACTTTTTTCATTTTTTTTTTGTTCATCAAGTTTTTGACACCTTGCTAGGCAACTGGTGGTACATGGATGTTGCCATATCCTAAAAGTGGTACAATAGGTGAAAAGGTTGAAAAGCCCTGATCTAGTCCAACCCCCTGCTCAGGCAGGAAACCCTATATCATTACAGACAAATGGCTGTAATTCCTTTAGTCTCTTCTTAAAAACTTCCAGCATTGGAGCATTCACTGCTTCTGGAGGCAGGTTGTTCCACTGGTTAATTGTTCTAACTGTCAGGAAGTTTGTCCTTAGTTCTAGGTTGCTTCTCTCCATGAAAAGATGACAGTGTATTATATTGTGGAAAAACCATAAAGATACATTATGTATAGAAATTTATAGTGTAGCAGCCATTAACTAGAAATCAGAGTATGCTTGCTTGACCTTTACTGATTTTTTTGTTTCTATTCTCTTATACATAACATTATTTTCATAAGAAAACAGAAAAAGATTAAACATCTATAAAAGGCCATAACTCCACGGTGTTTCCTAATTAGGTTTTTGAACCATGTGAATGGTTATAATGATGCACCTCCTAAATCACTTGTTTATATCCTTGTACAAATAAACTATTTATTAAAAAGTCCAAATGAAGCAAGATAGGTTTAAAATAAGATTAGCAAACTGTCAGTATAATGGTAGTTTATGCTAAGCAAACACAGAAGCCAAAGCTAGTGTTTCATGCAATATGGCAAATTTCAGTAAAGAAGTAACATGAGCAAATCCAGCATGTATACAGTGTTATATTATTATTGTGTAAAAATAAAAAGAAATAATAATTACAGATATTTACAACGTTTACCTGAATTATATCCAGGAATCTGCCCTTTGGTTGATATATCTGAGAAACCCATATTTAGACCACTAGATACAATACTGTCTAAATGAGGCTTAGGTCCAACTGGATGGGATGGAGAATGTTTCATGCCCGGCTGTCTTTGCTGTTGTTGAAGGGCATTTACCATACGGGCAAGCTACAGTTAAGGAAACAAACAAAAATTGGTTGACCTCAGAAATAGGCAATCTGGTGCTGCAAAGATATTTTGAATCATTTTGTATCAGACCTAAAAGAAAACGTTTGTATGATTTTTATTGAAAATACCTATTCCTATATTAATAAAATTATGCTTATGCTTCAAAGCTTAGTTTAAAACACTGTTTTTTAATTTTTCAAGTTCATGAGATTCTATCTAGGCTATTTTGTTTAAAAAATGAGGAATATCTAAAAAATATTTATCAAGATTAAATATTTATTTTCTCTTTCAAGTAATACATCCATTACTATATAATCTGAATAGAATGTGTTAGCTTGAGTATGATGGTATTTATCATTACTATATGCTTCTAAACTCATTTAAAATCTTAAAATTGATGCAACATTCAATTTATTTCAATATTAGATCTTGGTTTTAGTGAGTATTGAAAAAGTATTCACTATATTTAAAGAAAGATTTAAATAAAAGGTAGTGTGGCCTTCAATTATATTCCATGGAAGGAATATTACATAAAATAGTTGAACTTAATAATTAACCTTCCTGATTAACTTGCCAGATTTCACAGGTCACACATTACCTGTTGTTCCTGTTGTTGGCGTACAGCTTGAGAAATCTTTCTCTGATTTTGTAACAGTTGTTGTTGTTGTTGTTGCTGCTGCTGCTGCTGGAGGAGCAATTGACAAGCCTTCAAAATACAAATGAAAAAAGGAAAAGAAACTAGTTTACTTTGTAGAAGCTCAAATTGAATAGTGTACATTTGTATAACAAAAATAAACAAAAAACAATTAAAAACATCATCATAGAAAAGCCTGATGTTTAATACTAATTTATCAAAGCCTTTACATAATAGAGTTGTTCCTTTTTAATATCTATACTTGTTTCAAATATAATCTTTGGAAAACTATGGTTATCAAATTACTACTAAGGATTGATGCACATGCATATTTCTATGTGTATATATGTATTTTCCACAACATATATTTAAAACACAACCACAATAAAATTATCTTAAGTGCATCTAATGTACAGGAATGGGGGATAAGAAAATTTAGTTGGCCACCATATGAGAACAGCTACTTACAAGCTGAAACTGAGAAAACTGTGGAAGTTGGCTCAACATAGCAATCTGTTGAGGAGAAAGTTGGGGCCCCATACTGAAAAGGCCTGGATTCAGACCACTGTTAGGAAATTGCTTAAGCATAGAGGCAGAAACCTGTATGAAGAGAGAAAAAAACAAATTTCCAATAAGTAACAGAACAACAAAATCATTTATGAATAGAAATACTTCTAAATCCAAATTACTTTAGTACTTTTTTAAAAAAGATATACCAAACTTAGCCAAATTAAAGTGGTAAAAGCTCTTTTTTTTCCATTGTATTATTTTGGGGATTTATTGAGATTTATGTCAGGATACAGGGTTGGTTTTCCAATACTCAATCACAATAATTTATGGTATACCCGTTTTCGTTTCTAAAATGTAAGAATACTGTAAAGTTTTTGCTTACAAGGAGGAATTGCTGGAAGGCAGCTCACAACTGAATTATAGAAAGCCAGCAGGAACAGTTAACTGGGTTGAGGAGAGGTTGTGGATTAATTATTCCACATCCACCATATAAAGGTAAATGTATTTGAAAACTGAACATAAAATTGAACTATTTTTTGAATTAAAATAGAACTATGGAATCTAAATTACTCATGGGATTTGAATTTTGATCTGTGAAGATTACCGTATATGCCGGCGTACAAGGCGACCCGGCGTATAAGACGACCCCCGTCTTTGTCGCTGGGCCGCATTCCTAGAACGTCGTCTTATACGCCGGAAACTACCAGTATTTCCGGCGTATAAGACGACCCCCGTCTTTGGCGCTGATTTTAGCGCTTGCGGAAGTCGCCTTATACGCCGGCATATACGGTAGGTAAATGGAATTAAAAGATGAAAAGTGGCTAAATGGAGATGGGTGGCAACATGGAAGGTGGACCAAGACTAAGACTTTCTTCAACCAACAAAACAAGATTGGGTGAAGATGGAAAAAGAAGTTGGAGGCCAGATGGTGGATGTGTCTCAGTCAAATGGTGAGAAAAGCTGGACAGTGAATGTTATCTGATCAGCTCTAGGCTCAGAAGAAGAATTACCCTTGGGTGAGATGTACTGGAAAGATTGTTCCAGGGGAAGGTATATAAATCTCTTCTGGCTCAGCAACTTCAACCCAGTGCCTAGGCAACTGGATTGCTGATGGTCTCAGCATCACACAGTTGTTGGTAAATATCAGGATCACGTTTGTCTACAATTTGCTGGAGTGAACATACATGGCATGTATTACTCAGTCTGATTAGGAAAGGGTGGGGATGTTGTCTCTCCAAAATTTGTCCCTCCAGGTTTTGGTCATGCCTCAGTCTTCAAATCAAGGGATGTAAGGTAATGATTATTGTTCAGGACATTCTGGCAGTGGTCAGGGGTTATAATGTGATATAGGGATAATTTTGAACAGCAGGAAGAAGAGCTACAACCAAGACAACAGTCAGAGAAAAGAAATTTGAGTCTGAAACAGAAATGTAACCTAAGAAAATATCTCAGGCTTGACATTCTCTATCTTCAAGAGAATTAGAGAAGGTCAAGCTTGAAATGCATTTACAAGAAATTACATTTCTTTCGTCTGATCATTGTCTTGGATGCAGATCTTCTTCCTATTCCTCAAAGTTAAACCTCCCCCTCGTTAAGCAACTGTTCCAATGTCCAGATCCTTAAGTGAAATGCCACCATCTCATTCAGATAAAGTTAACTCATACAGCTGTCAGTGTTATTCTCACTCTAGCATACAATATCAAGTGCACAAAATTTGGTTGTAAATGTGTGCAAGCATTGGAAAATGATTTTCTAATTACCTTTTATTACTGTTAAGATAACTGAGATAGTCGCTAAACAAGGAGTATGTTACTAGAGCAGTGGTCACCGACTTTTTGGGCACCAGGGACCAGTTCCGTGGAGAGAGGTTTTTCCGTGGACCTGAAGGGGTGTGGTTTCGTGTACTGCCTGCATCCCACGGATGAAGCTTCACTTGTTTGCGCAACCCGATTACTGGCTTGCCATGGACCAGTGCTGGCCCACAGACCAGGAGTTTGGGATCCCTCTACTAGGGCATATTCCTACAGCTTATTACAGGGGCCCGGTTTTAGGGGTGATGGACTGTGAAGTTGTGACATTGGGCCATCGGGTTAAATTGGGGTCTGACTATATTGCATAATTTGCTGCGGGTCTCTTCCTGATCTCTTGGATCTCCTCTTGGAGCTATTGGTGGAATTCCTCAGTTTTTAGTATAAGGTATTTCAATTACCGTGGGTGGGTGGATTCTGGGCAGTCTTAGGAGTCTATAGCCATCATGGGCTTGTCACAGATAATCTTAAGCCTGATTAACACAGTGTCCAGATGTTAAATTTAGTGTTTACTTCTCAGTAATATTTGTAATAATGAGAGCACTCCTGGTTATTTTGAGAGTCACTGCTTAGAAGAGTCTCCAGATGGTGGGAAATCAGACAAGGATGGTTCACTCTAGGCATCCAATATATCTAGATGGATTCCAGACAGCACCTGGTTGTTTTCTGGTACATGGAATATTCTGCTTTTAACCTACAGAATCCTTAAAGGCTTGGTACCTAAAGACCTACTTTAGGTAGAACTGATCCATTTAGTTCACTAATCCCAAAAAAAGGATGCTCAGAATAACTGGTTATCTCCTACAATGTAATGCTTTTCTAGTTATATCCCAATTATGGAATAACCTGCCTCCGGGACTAAAATATGACTCCCTTATTGCGTGTTGCAGACTTTTTTTTTTGTTTTAAAATGTAAATATACACAAACAGTTTGGGTATTTAAAACCAATGTTTTAATGAAAAGCAGAATTGTAATTAGTAAGGATAATTAAGGACTTTTTGATTGCTTGTTGAAATATTATGGTAGACAAATCTGTCTTTGTCAAGGCAATTTCTAGAGATGGAAAAGAATTAGCAGCTAGAGCTCATCTGATGCTGCAAATTGATAAAACGTTTGAATTTGAGTTGTAGTCAAATAAACTGATAATTAAACCAAAGAAAATCTTTTATGAATAAGAAAATATAATTATTTCAACTGCTAAGGTCATTCAAAGTTAACTTAAAATGTTAATATAAACTAAAATACAGAGACATCACTGTATTGCTCAGTATACTTCAAGTATCACAATAGACCTCTAACAGTCTGTCAACTGGAAATAACTGTAGCTATTGCACTGAAGTGGCCCTTATTGTCAAGGAAGCTAATGCAGTGGGAGATTCCCCCCCCATTTGGAATAGTCTAGAGACAGCAAAGTATGTAAAAATAAGATTAAACACATTTAGCATCTTGAGTTCAGAATTGCAATAAAGCAATTTTCTTGCTCAGAATTAACTAGAAAGTGAGTGCATCTATTATCTGGCTTTTAATGAAACCATATAGAGAAAAGGCAGACTGAACAAAATTCTACTTTTATAATTGTTTAATTGTAACCTCTTATGTTGATCTGTAGAGACCAATTGTAAAACTATTTACAATTAAGCTTTTATGCTGCTTACCTGGGGGGAAAGAAATTGAGGAGGCACTTGTGCCCGAATATTGGGGGAAGGATTTAGCGACTGCACTGGTGGGTGCATCCCTCTCGATTGTGCTGTGCTATTTCCAAACAGACCTTGATTGCCACCCTAAAAACAGAACAGTAACTATGAATTCAACTGTATAAATATTTTACAAGCAGTCTCTAATTAGTATTATTCATGGAATATTTCAATGTGCAGTTAAGTGCTACATTATTTAGGGCATATGAATGCTGGTTACCTTAAATTCACTCTGCTCTGACTAGCTTTTTCCAACTTTATCCCCTTCCGAGAAGCTGATTTCATATCACACTCATTTCTTTAAAAGTAGAAACAAAAACATAATAGCCCTCTTCATTGTGGATCTAGAAAAAGACTTCCCTGCACAAATTTAATCTGACTTTTTAGTTTCAAGTTACATCTTCAGAACAAGAGGAAAAGAAGTTTTTCTTGTAGTATTTCCCAATAGTCTATTTACTGACTCTAAATAAAGGTTTGCTGGAAGGTGTTAGTAAGAGATCAAGGGAACAAAAGCAAAATACAGAATTATTAGAAAATGGGGTTAAGGTGAAGAGAGAGAAAAAGATTAAACATTAGGCTCTTGAACAGATATTGGTTTATTTTAGTATAGTCATAAACCACATTTTAATTAAAAATGAGTCAGGAGGGAAAAAATCCAGCTTTCCAAAATCAATATATGATTTAGCCAAGCAGTAATATAACCAAGAATGTGATTTTCTTACTTGTCTAGCAGCGAAGTTTTGGGGGTTGAGCCCTGAGCCGATTGCCCCAAGGCAGACATTTGGTAATGTGGAACCAGAGGGAGATAGCTTGTAATTGGGAGAAGGGGAGAAGGGAGAGCAGGGAGCCTCATCCCCAAGGCACCCATCTTGATTGGAGAAAGGCAAAGTCAGCTGAAGCAGTAGTTAGCCAATCAGTAGCAGTTGAAGGTTAGTGAAGCAACAGAATGCAAGAAGAAAAACAGTGACAGTGAATGATCAAAAATACATAAAATGTATTTGCTTAGCATTAAAGGGACAGTTTCTAATAGATTATGCTACTTATTTTGGAGATGTGGTCTAAAAGGAGACAAAACAAACAACCACATTATTTTAAATATTTTTTTCATAGTTAATGTCAAACTCACAGAAAAAAGTCTTCAATGAAAGGTATAAATACCGTATCCCTGATTTTTGGAAAATATCATCTATATATTTGTACAATTTACCCACTGCCTCAATTCCCATGGACCATTTACAGATCATAAACGTTCCTTTTCAGCATACATACAATTAAGTAACACTTAGAGCAGCCGAGACACATACAGAAAGTCCTTGGGTTATTATGTTAATTGGGGCCAGAATTTCTGTTGCTAAGTGATAAAGTTGTAAAGTGCAATGTCATTTTAATGCAAATGTTTAATGCAACATTTAAGCTACAGTAATTCCAGCATTCCCCATTGTGATTGTTACGCAAGGGCCTCCTTGCAACTTCCAGTCAACTTCTAACAAGAAAAGTCAATGAGGAAGCTGTTAGAAAGTTGCAAGTGCCAGGCAGCTCTCAAGTAAGCCAGGAGGCAGATAGGCGGCTGCTGCTGAGTGTGCTTGGGGCCACTGAAGTGCAGCAGGCCTGGGGACGGCTCCTGCTGAGTGATGGAGTATATACAGATAATCCCGAGTTATGAGCATTCACTCAGTGCTCGTTCGAAGTTACACAATAAGCAACTCCTAGTGTTTACGAGCAAGTCCCAAAATTACGAATGTTGCAGCACCACAGCAGTTGTTTGCCCTTACGAACAACTGCAGAGGCTCTGCAACATTCACCTTATTTCCCCCCCTCCCATTCTGCCATGCCTGATTCACTTACCTTGCAAAAATCCTCTCTGCTGTGGTTTTGTTGCCTTTGAGGGAGAGGAGTTGATGTAAGCTCCTGGGTGCCGTAATATCGCACAAGTTCAGGCACCCATCCTCTTTTGCGGATAATGGATGTCTGAATTCTTGCGAGTTTATGGATCCCAAAAACTTTCATTTTGGAGGCAAAAAATATTTGTGGTGCCTGTCTCCTAGTTGCCCCCAACACCTTTTCGCCACTGCCGGAACACTTTTCACCTGGCCAGAGACCTTGGGTAGACTGGAAGCTTTGTCTGCCTGCAAATGGGGTGCTTGGGAATGGAGCGAAACACACCATTTCCAAGTGCCCCATTTGTAGGCAGACGGACCTTCCAGTTTCCCCAAGGTCTCCGTCTGGATAAAAAGTGTTTGAGCGCCTATGAGGCACTTTGAAATGGAGTGGAACGCGGTGGCGGAAAGGAGTTGGGGGGGGACCCATTATCTACAAAAGAGGATGGATGCCTGAACTTATGGCACCCAGGAGCTTCCATCGATTCTCCTCTCCCTCAAAGGCAAAAACCACGGCAGAGATGAGACAGATCTTTGCAAGGTAAGTGAGTCTGGCATAGCAGGAAGGCAGGGGGAAGCATGAAGTATCTTAGTAGGTCAGGGAGGCCATGAGGGTCTGTTCCATCACTAGGACCCCCATGGTCTTCCCCACCCTGAGATACCTCATGTGCACTTAACGAACCACACATTTTTTTTATTGGAAATTTTTATTTTTTAAAACATACAATCATTTATAAAAATACAATAAAATTTTAAAATAGAGAACCCCCCTTACCCTCCCTCCCACCCCCACCCCCCCTCCCTTCACTTCCCAGAGCAGAATACAGTGTTAAGAAAAAAAAGAAAATTATAATAATTAAAAAAAAAGAAAAAAAAGAGAAAAAAATATCATAATTAACCTTTAACTCCATAACTTATAAAACAATTCTCTATAATATTTGATATTCATTCATAAAATAAATAAAACTTTTTAATTCCATATTTTTTCTGAATATAATCTATCCACCTTCCCCATACAGTAATATATCTTTCTTGTGTATGATCCTTTAAATAAGCAGAAATTTTTGCCATTTCTGCAAAACTAGATACTTTAAATATCCATTCTTCTAAAGTAGGCAAAGAATCTTTCTTCCAATATAGACCTACTAGTAACCTTGCTGCAGTTAATAAATTCAACATCAAAGTAGTTTCTTTTTCATTTAAGTCAACAAAAATACCAAGTAAAAATAGTTGAGGAGTAAACTTTATCTTCTTTCTAAAAATCTTTTGAATGTTCCACCAAATCATAATCCAAAAAGCCTTTACTTTTTTACAATTCTACCAAATCTAAATGCCATCTATAAAACATTTTATAAAAATTTTCTCTCAAATTTTGAGCTTGTGTAAATTTAACATTTCTTATCCAAATTATCTCCCATAAATCCAATGAGATCGGCTCCTGTATATTCTGAGCCCATTTAATCATACAATCTTTAACCAATTCTGTTTCCGAATCTAACTCTAATAAAACATTATATATTCTTTTTATATGAGCCGGACCTTGGTTTTTAATCTGAATAACCAATTGTCTATCTTCTAGTGTTATTCCCTCTTTCTTGTCTACAGTCCATCTATCCATTATTTGTAAATATTGAAACCATGACTGTAGAATATTTTGCTGCCTTAATACATCTAGGGATTTCAAATGCCAATTCGAACCAGAACAAATTAACAATTCTTTATATGAAATTTTATCAAAATTTGTCCCCTTAGAGGTTCCCTCAATTGCATGTCTGGGAATCCCCCAGATAGGTATTTTATAATTTAATCTATAATAATACTTCTTCCAAACACGAAGTAAGGCATTCCTCAAAATATGTGATTTAAAAGTCCGATCAACTTTCTTATTAAAAATTAAATATGCATGCCAACCATATATTAAATCCCAACCTTCCAAAAAAAGAATATCCATATTTGTTAAATTAAGCCAATCACTTAACCAAGTTAGGGCGGCTGCATCATAATATAATTTCAAATTGGGTGCCTTAAGTCCCCCTCTTTCTCGAGCATCCTGTAATATCTTAAATTTAACCCTTGGTTTCTTCCCGGCCCATATAAAATTATTGATACCCTTTTGCCATTCCTCCAAATTTGCCTCTTTTTTAAGAATAGGTATCATCTGAAACAAAAAAAGAAACTTTGGTAGAACATTCATTTTTACAGCTGAAATTCTCCCCAACAATGACAATTGCAATTTTTTCCAATCTATTAAATCCTTTTGGACTTTTGCCCATAGTGGTTCATAATTGTTCTTGTACAATTTTCCATTTGAAGCAGTTAGATATACTCCCAAGTATTTAACCTTTTTTACCATCTGAAAACCTGTGGCTTTAATCAAACTTTCCCTTTCTTTAACTGACATATTCTTAGATAATATCTTAGTCTTATAATTATTAACTTTAAAACCAGAAACATTCCCATACTGTGTTATAAGTTCTAATAAACCATCAATCGCCTGATTCGGCTGTTCCAAAATTAAAACCAAATCATCCGCAAATGCCCGCAATTTATACTCATTCTTCCTTATCTTTACACCCTTAACTAACTTCGATTCCCGAATCTGAATCAATAAAATTTCCAATGTTAAAACAAATAACAATGGGGATAATGGACATCCTTGTCTTGTCCCTTTTTGAATATTGAAATTCTCAGTCAATCCCCCATTTACAACAATTTGTGCAGATTGCTGCTGATATATAGCTTTAAGTGCATGTAAAAAATTATCCCCAAAATTCATTTTCTCTACCAAAGAAAATAAAAATTGCCAGTCCAATTGATCAAAAGCTTTTTCAGCGTCCAAAAAGATAAAAGCCACAGGAATCTGATTATTCTTATCCAAGTACTCAATTAAGTTAATAATTTGTCTAACATTATGTTTCATATATCTCCCTGTTATAAATCCTGCTTGATCACTATGAATCAAGTCTTTCATAACCTGCATTAATCTATTTGCCAAAATTTTTGTAAAGATCTTATAATCAACATTCAATAATGAAATTGGCCTATAATTCTTAGGCTCTGTAAGATCCTGATCTTCCTTCGGAATCAGTGATATAAAAGCTCTTTTCCAAGAAGGAGGAACTTGCATACCCAACAAAATACTATTAAAGAGTTCCTTTAGTGGCTCTATCATTTCTTCAGATAAAATCTTATAATACCTAGAAGTCAGTC